CAGCCCCTGAGGCAAGAGGAGTGCCGTGCCAGAAGACAAGGGCCAACCAGCTTGATGGAACTGCCTAAACTGAGGCTGTCTGGAGTGACCAGACTGTCATCGTGTTCCAGTCCTGCGCTGCGGTCAGTGTTGGGCACTGGAGCAAACGGAAGAGTCCCTGTGTTGAGACCCCTGAAGTGTACTGGTGCGAACAAGAAGGTAGTAGTCTCTAGCTTCTCTGTGGGGCTGCCCTAGGGCCTGGACTCAGTCTCCATTCAGCGTCTGTGGTTCTTCTTTACCAGACAGACACACAGAAGGACATCAAACCTCACCTGAAACAGTATCACCTGCCCACGATCAACAGGAAAGGGGGCGAATACTGAGCAGCACACCACCTGGTCACCCTTTTGGAGAGCAAGGGCAGGCGCTATGAGCAGGCTTAGGCCTCTGTGGCTGAGAGTGGATGGGCCAGAGGATGCCCTGTGTGCTGGTGGTCCTGACAATGCTTGGTGGCCCAGGACAAGCTGCCTAGCAGCCCATCTGTACCCACAGCCTGGAGCCGCGTGTGTTTGCAACCCCAAAGCAGCTGTACTGAATGTTCCAGTTTAATATATTTGTAAAACCACCTCATTCAAGGGTTTATTTCATTTTCATAATGTAAGGATTTGAGGTGACTTTTTATATGAATCAAAACATAAGATTGGGCTTGGTTACTCATGCCTGTAATCCCAGCACTGGGGAGGTGGAGGACAGGAAGAGCCCAGCCTGGGCTACTCGATGAGTATCCCTGCCTCAGAAAGAAAAAGAAAAAAAGAAAAGAAAACAAATAAAAGATAGACCAAAATCTCTGTGATGAGTGACTTAGGCTTGGTTGAGAGGCGGCTGTGCACGTTGTACCTCAGTGTTTTCCCAACAGGATGGGCAGGTATTCCAGGTCTTGTGGCTGTGGTACCACAAGGATTGCTGCTGCAGACTGCTGATTTCCACTGACAGTGGCTCATCAGAATGGGCTCCATTTAAATGTGTTACAAGACACTCCTTTGTGTTCGCTTTCTTGAGCCGCAGCTGGGCAGGCTGACATCCGTGTCCTCTGAGTGCCAGCTTTGCGTGGCGGCCATGTCATGATTGCTAGTGCCTAGACTCCCTCAGAATTGCAGAACCAGTTGTCTGGTTGTCAGTGTGACTTGGAGCAGGTAGGCAAGTTGGGCACCTTGTGCCCTAGAAAAAGAAGGCTGGGGCTAGGAAGACAGGGAGTGGTCAGAGTGCTTTTGCACGAGAAGAGGACCTGAATTGGATCCACAGCATCCATGTAAAAGCTGGTACTGTTACACCCCTATAACCTGATCACCAGGGCAGGGAACAGTGCAAGATGGGGACAAAGACAGGAGGGTCTCTGGGGCTTGCTGGCCACCAAGGGACTAATGGAGCAGAGAACAGTAAGTGACACACTAGGTGTCCTGGTGCTTCTTTCTGCACATGATGGGAACAAATGTAAAAGAATGGCACTGAGTGGATTCAAAAGGGCAGAAGCATTCGTCAGACAGCTGGACTTGGGCCTAAGCCTCTTGGCTTCCATTTTTGCTTTTGCTATGTTGGGGGTAGAGCCCAGGCCCCATGTGTTCATGGTAAGCACTCATTTAGCAGTGTGGTGACCTAGGCTCTACTCAGCCCTATGGAACAAAGGAATTGAGTATGCTTTCTTTTATCATACTTTCAAATATATATACCATTTAAATCAGGGTAGTGGTGGTGCACGCCTATAATCCCAGCTCTCAGGAGGCAGAGGCAGGCGGATCTCTGTGAGTTTGATGCCAGCCTGGTCTACAAGAGCTAGTTCCAGGACACGCACCAAAGCTACAGAGAAACCTTGTCTCAAAAAAAAGAAAAAGAAAAAAAACCCACGAATATATGTGCCATTTAAAAAGCGAAACTTCCCAGGGAAGTGTTGAGTCTCAAATATCTGACCCCATCACTCGGGACTCTGCTGGCCCAAGTTTCAGGCCACTAGACAGATGGGTGGGTAGGGGCAATGCCAGGAGTCAAAGGGCAGTGAGACTCTAGGAGGAAGATGGGATAGCAGAGGGCAGTGCGGGCATGGAATACTCTGGGTACGAGGCTTAGAACGGACAGAGCCAGGGCTGGTGGGTGTGGCCTGCACTCTTCTGAAAGCGTGGTGTGGCCCTGGAAAAGGGCTGTCCTGCCTTTGCTATTGGTTTAGGAGTCTTAGTCCAGTAGGCATTATCCAGGCTTGCAGCCAGTCCAACACACAAGGAGACCAGAGACGGAAGCCAGCTGAGTGGGCATGACAGCGTGCCCAAAGTAGGACCTGCAAGGCTGGGCTGAGCTTGGGTATATGGAGTTGGGGCAGAGAACCAGTATCTGGAAAGGCTGCAGCAAGGACCTGAGGGGAACCTCTTGGCTTTCTCTGCCTCCTACGGGCCTAGCCTACCAGCCCAGTGCACCATGGATTCTCCCATGCAGCAGAATTTGAACGGCAACTGCTTGCTAAGTGTTTGAACTGTCACCGCAGCAGTCTGTGCTGTGAAGTCTCACCTTCTACCTGCTATGACTGAAGACACTACGATGCAGCCTTCCCTCTGCCCAGTCCCCACACGTGGAGGGCCATCCATCAAGTCCTACAGCAACAGGTAAGTGAGCTGTCACTTCCTATGGCTCCAGGACCTGCTGTACACTGTTTATCCGTGGTGTTGGGCAGGTATAAGACCATCTGGAAGGCACATTAGACCATGTGGCTAGGGACTAATATTAGGAACAGCCAGGAAAGTTTGTTACTGGCACAGTCACCGAGGTAAACTAGGAAACATCTGACAGCTTTCAAATGGAAACAAAAGGTGACAGACTGGGTCAAGGCACGGCAAGGACCCCTGTGGAATACAACTGGAGGTCTCTTGAGGCAGTGCTTCAGTTTCCACTGCCCTTCCACTGCCCTGCTGTTCACGTGACTTCCTCCCGTCACTCCCTGCAGACAGGGAAGATCTAGAATGGAGCTGCTTCAGGAGACTGCTAGGTTCCCTGCACCTTTCCAAGGCTAGGGCAACAGCAGAAGTGAGTGGCTTCCCTGGTCTGGGAGCCAGGAACCTAATGTGAATAAAGACAGACTTGGGCTTGCATTGGTGTGTGAACTGTGCAGTAGCATCATCCTGCTGCAGCCGCAGCTGCTACAAATTCAGACAAGCTAGCAAAAGCCCCACACTCCTTCCACATGCCCCCTAGTTAATGGGATCATTTGGAGAAATGTCTCAGACACCTCATGACTTAGTCTCGGCACATAAAAACCTTCAAGGGCCCAGCTCTGTATGATTCTTTAAAAGGTGAGAAAGGTCCTCCTGCTTGGAAATACAGGCATTGTCTCTAGGTATCACCTGCAGCAGCTACAAGTGGGCAGGGAATTGGACCTGAGCATAGAGATGCACGCCTGCTGACGTCAGTCCTCTGGAAGCCCCGTGTGATGACGTCTGAGCTGCCTGAGTCATGGTGCGGCGGATGGAGCTGTGGAAACTTACAGTGTGTGCTCTCAGCTTTCAAGGGCAGCATAAGGAAAAGGCTACATGGTGCTTACACGTAGAGCCTGCAGGCCTGAGCGGCTCCTGCGGCATGTTGGACTGTGAGGACTGGCCCAGAGCCAAGAATTCTCAAATGAGACATGTTTCTCACAGTCAGCCTTATACTGGACTGACAGTGAGGGATCAAGGGATGTGAAGGACAAAGAACGGAGCAATTCCATACCAACCAATGAGTGAGGCCAGAACAAAACAAACCACACAGCATCAGTTAAAAAAGGATAAACAAATAGTATATTCAAGATAATTTTAATATTAATGTTTTTGTGAATTAGAAATATCACTCTTAAATGATGAAAATTACTAGTGAAGTAACTCTCCCATTTCAGAATTACATTATTTACATATATAATACAGGCTTGATTGCATTGAAAACAACAGTAATAAAATAAATGTTAACAGATAAAAAGGGCATCTTCACTCCAAGTTGTGGAAGCTGGGAGTCCACTATCCCCATATTCAAAGTCATTTTCTATTAGCATTAAACTATTTTAAGTGCAAACAGTTTTTTTAAATCTATGATTGCAGCATCTGTCTTTCTGAGTTATGTATTTAAGTCAGAAGGTGAGAACTGTCTTCATGAGTGCATCCCAGGCTGTCTAGTGACTACCTAAAGTATAAAATAGATCAGTGCAAAACCAGAGCCAAGTGCTATTCATAACAGTTGAATTTAAGGTTTCTTGTCCAAGAAACATTTTACTTTACACTATGTATATATGTATATATATTATATATGGGATTTAATTACATTGAATTTTAGAGTAAAAAGCAAGAAAATTCCATTTCTCATTTTTTACTGCAGCCCCAACAGACTGATTTAAAAATGGAAGCAACTCTTTGGGTTAGCAGCTCCACACAGCCCTACAGGCTGCCGCTGCCTGCCGCCTGCATGTGGTTCCAGCGCAGCTCATGGCCCCGTTGTCGTCTGTCACTCCCTCGGTCCACATGTGTCCGGGGGAGCCTGGGAGCAGCAGTGCGGCTGCTACACTACAGTCCCACCTGGAGAACTGGCCTGGTTTGGGGATGACAACAAGCCCTGCGAACAAAGCAGTTTACATTAATCCAGCAAGACACGGGGGCAGCGCAGACAGCCCCGGCGCTCACCCTTTGCCAGCGTTTTTCACAGGCTTGTATGCCTGTCCAAGGGCGGGAAACCAGGGCTTTAACACACTCCCTGTCGTTTGTTCCACCTAGTTAATTCCTCTCAGAGCACTGTCCTGTGCCTGAAATGAGATTCTGTGCCCCAACACCAGCTAGCAGTTAGATAGAAGTGTCTATCGAGGACCATCAGAGCCTTTAGAAGGCATAGCTCAGATACGGCAGCTGCAGACAGGGTCACCAGCTCCACCTCTGGCTTGTCAGGTCAGACCAGGCCCTAAGCCAGGTGGGCTTCCAAGGACAGAGTCTAGTGGCACTTAAGGCATTTTCCTTTTCCCTTAGTTTAGCTGACCTCCAGTGAAGAGGCCCTACAGGTACATAAAAGGAGTTCAGGCCCTGGGGGGTGAGTCTTGCAGCTGCAATGGGTAAGACGAGCTCCCAGTGCCCTCATAATCCTCAGCACTGATTACTCTGCGGGCAATTATGGCAGAGCCTTGTGCTCATTTCTTAGGAATCTGAAGATTACAGTAGTGCAGCATTAGAACAAAAAAAAGGGGGGGGGGTTCCGTGGAAACAAACATCCTTTAGTCATCCCAAAGAATTATTTACTTGTTGAATATTATTTATAAATGACATTTAATGCTAAGTAAACACTACTGCTACATTTTCAAAGACTCAGTGCAGAAATGAGGCTGACAGTCATAAATGGGTCATCAGCTTCACCCCACACCTTGTTGGAGGGAGCTAGGAAACAGCTGGCCACTGCAAGCCATCTGACCTACAGTTTCTTACCTCAGAGTTGAAATCTATTGGTCTAGACAAAGCCAAGAACAGATGGAATATAACAACTGGCCCTGATCTGTGTCTGTAGGAGCTCTTATCCCCTCAGACCCTTGTTCAGACAGTGCACAAAGAGCCACGCCCCTCATACCTCCAGCAAACCCACCACGCCAGTGAGGGAAGGCAGATGCAAACAGGCCCAGGTCCACCCAAGCTGAGGTTAAGGACAGCAGCCACTTTAGTATGTGACCCGCCTTCTGTGCCTTGAGCAGCACTGCAGACAGAAGGTGGCCTGCCCTGTCTCTGTAGGTGTTGCCCTGTCTCTGGCCAGCCAATGGAAGAGTGATGCCAACCATATGGGAGATGCACGATTTTTAAATAGTTAATGACTTAGAAACCAGGGGAAATAAATTTTAACTGAATATATCCCAACTTATTACAGTACATAATCAAATAAAAACTCTCAAAGGCGAGTGTATAAGAGCCTTTGAAGTACACTGCTTGCGACAGTGCACATGTCAACTTGGTATTTGGTGGCCAAGTAATTCATGGTTGCTATGAGAGTCAACAAGAGCCTGACAATGAATGTGTCCACTCTGGTGGCCTCTGTGTCCTTTTCCTTGCAATTCTGTGGATGAGGAGTTTCCAAACATCACCAGGGCTCCAGGATTCTAGCTCCCACTGACATAGCTTTCACTGCATCCGTCTTGTCCTAGCCCAGAGTCAACACTTGCTCAAGGCCCCCATTGTCCACGGTATGCTCAGGAGTCCAGGGGAACCAGTCTTTTCTCTTCATCATGTGCACTATCCTGGCCACTAAGCCAAGGGGAGCACACTTAGGTCTCCTCAACCAGCGGATCACATCTACCTACCTTTCAACTCCTGTAATCTCACTCAAATGTCAGAGAATTGGGCTGTGCTCAGTGGGGGTTCACTTCTGCCATGTCAGCCCTGGCCATGAGTGGAGGCCAGGACCTCAGGGCCCTCCACCATAGACAGGAAGACTATTGCGAAGGTGAAATGAGAACCAGATAGATCTGGCCTCTAGTTCCCTGGCCCTGTGGTCACAGGCTCCTGAGTACACTGGCCTGCTGGGTCCCTAGAAGAATGTGTGAAGCCAGCACAGGCCACCAGAAACTGAAAACTGTAGAACAGGAAAGGGCCTTAGCGCAGGGTCAGACTGGGTTGCATCAGAGCCTGGTCAGCACCAGCACCCAGATCAAGACTTGCCTCGCTTTGTTGCTCACCATTAGAACAGTGACCTCAACATTGTTTACTCTTATGATGTGTCCTTGCAGAGTCTACAGTGGAGGCACTGGGTGTGGTGGTGTATGCCTAATACTCCCGCACTTGGGAAGAAGAGGCAGGAGGATTAAGAGTTCAAGGTCACCTTCAGACACAAAGGAAATTTCTGGCCAGCCAGGGCTACAGGAGACCCTGTATGAAACTCCTGTTCCCCTAAAGAAAGAGAATGTAAAATATATCCTTTATGGGGTTGGGGGAGGTTGAGTTCCACTAAGCTACACCCCAGCCTATCACCATTAGTCCCTGCTGTAGTGTAAAGCCTGGGAGGTGGAAGGGGAAGCGGCCACGCCCCACTGAAGCAGGGCCAAAAAGGCAAAAGAGCCACTCTCATACCAAAACGTGGTGGTTCTACAGCCCTCCTCTGATTTCTCTGCTTGGGGACGGGTGAGTCAAGATCAGAGCTAGCACACAGGGAGAACTTGTGTGTGCCTGCTGGGTGTGTGCACCTGAGCCACCTAGCACTATGTACAGGCTTCACAAAACCGAGAAGGTCTCTCCAGCAGAGAACCTGAACAGTGTCCCCTAGTCCCAGGGATACGACGACTCTTGAGCCTGAGCTTTTCTGGTCTCACCAAATTTGCCAACATTGCTGGATATTTCATTTCAAAATTACACAACAAAATACTTCAGGTCTTGGTTTGGGTTAGATTCTAATTTACAATAATACAATGCTAATAGAATTAAGCCTTATTCCACCAGGACATACAATAAAAACAAACTGTTCCTTAGAAACCAGAACAACCAAAGAAGGAGTCCATTTTCCTGCCTGCCCTGGCGGATGTTGCTGAGGTGGATTATAACTGGTCGGATGCTGTACTATGCAAAGACGTGTCTTGGACTTCTGCTCTTTGCCCTGGGTGTGTTCCTCTTATCTATCTGGGCTTAAGAATCCATTATTCTATTCCACACACTCTACAGCAAAGACCAGAGAAAGCCTAGAAAGAAAGCACACTTCTGTATAATGTATATGAAAGAAATCAGCGTAACCAGACTCAATGTCGTGACTTACTGTCCCGGGACCCTGGGTCCTGCTGGGTTGTGGGCCTTGTTCACTAGCTAGCCCTGACCTACCCACTGAGAGGCCACACTGAAGGCGGCACAAAGGGGCTACACAGCCTGGTCTCTGATGACAAAAGGGAAACTAGTCAAACTCTTTACAGACATCCAGGGAAAGACAAAAAATGAAATGTGCAAGTAGCTGAAGGCTTCTTTGAGGTTGTACATTAAGCTGGCCCTCATTCTGTGACCCGCTGGGCCCTGGTTTGCCAGAGGAAATCTTCTCTGGCTCCTCCCCTTCAAGAGCTGCCCAGAGTCCACCAAAAAAGCAGAGGCTGATTTCAGAGGCACAGCTCCAAGACAGAGGCGCCGCTACAGAGCCTCTAACTACATCATGGCACCCACATCTACAGGTAGCCATACACTAAGGGACAACAACTCTTTTTCTCCAGGTATACAGTAGCTATGTCTTTAAAAAAAAATCAAATGGTATGGTTTTCTTTAAACAAAAAAGAAAATGTCATTAGCCTCTTTTAGGCCTTTAAGCTATTTAGTTTCTAAGAAAAAGCCCCCTGTGCTTCTCGTGTGTGTGTGTGTGTGTGTGTGTGTGTGTGTGTGTGTGTAGGGGTCACTTTGAGCTACAGGTTTGAACAGCTCTCCTGCTTGGCAGCACACAGTCAACACAATCTGCACGCAGAGGCAGGCGGTAAGGAAACACCCTGGAACTATCTGTGGGGGCTACGAGGCAGAGAGCACAGGACCAGCAGCAGCTTGGAGGAGAGGCAGATAAGCAAGAACCCAGTGTCTCAGGAAACAAGAGCTGACAGGTGAGTGGGAGCACCTTGGTCCAGCTCACTCTCACCATGTCACCCCGGCAGGGACCTGCGGGTTAAATTACCCATTTGTAATTCTTGCATGTAAGCATCTGGAGATGGAGGTGACTAGTGAAGTCTATTTACTGAGGGACAATATGCATGGCTGACCCGCCTGTCCCCAGTGCAGTGTCACCTGCTGCCTGCTCCTGTCGCTCCTGTTGCACTGGGTGATGGCTCTGGGTGATGACAAAAGCCGTTCCCCAGCCCAGAAGCCCAGCAGGGGTGAGGTGGGAGTGTGCTGAGAGGGAAGAGCTCCTACAGAGACCCACAGAGCCCTCAGCTCACTAGGCTGCCTAGGTGGCTGCAGAGCCCACTGGTGGCCTAGCTCCCTCCAGAGCTAACATTCACATTACACTGAACCCTTTTCAAAGAGAATCCCAGGGCCTGATCCAGACAAGCTCACACAGACCTGCGGCTCTGAAGCTCAGCGTCAGCGGTTCACACAGTCAGTAGGAAGAGATGGCTTCCATGGTTATTTGTTCTAGAAATGTTAACGAGGCTCTTAATTTTACAGCATTTAACAGCTTTCTTTTTTGGCTCACTGAGATTCTTTTTTGTAAAGCTTAGATGTGAAAATGACTTATTGAAAATTATCTACATTTACAATGCATTCACACGTTTATTCAATGTCAATATACAGAGGACAGCCCCCAGTACTGCAGAATGTCAAGTATGTGGTTAGTCTCTTCTCTGTGACAGTGACAAGCGAACAGCTAAAAACCAAAGCAATGAACCAGAAACACGGTTCTCAGGGTTAAGGGTATTCAAGCTTCAGTAGTTATTGCAACAGGAGGAGCTCGGTTCCTGGTGCTTCACAGCAGGAGGGCTCTTCAGGAAATGTATTCAAGTTGTGAAGAGATCAGATGAAAATGTAAGAAAGGAAATACATTTACCTTGAAGCTCACTGAAGATAAATACTCATACAACTTTACACAACGTCACCTAATAACAATCTTTAAAACCCAAGTACACAGAAGTTAAAATGCAGGACTTTCACACTTTTAACTCAAGAGTCAGAAATTGAGCCATGACACAAAGATAATGTACAGTTGCAGCATGAACGAAAAGTTCTGCGTCAGTGTGACATGCTCCACCAGAACAGCATGTTCTTACAGTTGAACCTGGGAGCTGAGTCTCAAGGTAACGGTTGAATACAAGTGCTTTTCCACAGAGAGCCGCAGGCTTCACTAATGCCACACTGCCGTCCTCTCCCTGGGCCACTGCACAGCACTTTGATGAGCACCTTTAACCTAAGCCAGCTCATGGTGGTCCAGTCAGCCCGAGCAGACAGCATGCTCTGGACAGAAACGGCCTGGTGGGTGTGGGGCTCCCCCATGCATCCCCGGATGTTCAGCCTTAGGAACCAAACTCCAACCTTCAAGTTCAGGACCAGGCCTACATGGGAAAGTGCGTAGAGGCTCCATGGGTGAGGGAATGAGATGACAAACCTCAATGGTGCAACTGGCCCTGAACCAAGAGGCATAAGGGACCATGGACCCCTTCAGCCATGACTGACTGCCCACAGCATAGCATAGCCTGCATTCCAGCATCAGTCACTGGAAAGCCACCACCAAACTCTGGTCCCAGTTTTCTTATCAAGTGGTCAGATAGACTGGTGGTGGCATTGGGGTTTCCACAGGACCTTTTCTGGCCCTACATGTCTTGTGTCTTGTTCCTCCTCACACTTTGAGCTTGCTCAACAAAGAAGAAAATATCTCCCTCCAGCAAGAAGTGAGAGGACTGTACAGACAGGGACACACATTGTGCTAAGGCAGGCTCACTCATTTTAGCACAAATTCAATATGTTAAATTTATTAAAAATTCAGAATGTGGATATGGAGAAATGACCCTGGATGTTTTAAGACAAGCGCCAGAGGGGACATCCTGGGGTGGGATGTGTACACACCCTCACAGAAACTGCCAAGTTTTATAGCCCTTGTCACACCTGATTTCAGAATGTGGGCTTTTCTAAAAACATTCACTCTTCATCCTGACCTAAGCGGCTCTCAAAACACTACTAAACTCAATCAGCATTACAGACTATCTTAAAGCTCTTTACCCCTGGAGGTTGATCTGGAGGCCAGTTACTGGCCGCAGGTGTCACAGAATCTCTCAGGGACATTTGCTTTTCAAAGAAGGCACAACTTCCAAGCCTCTCAAAGGGCCAGGATGTGGCTCAGAAGTGCAGCAACCAGCATGGCAGAGGTTGAGTCCCTTGGCTCAATTCCCAGCACGGCCTGCACAGAAAGAGTAAAGCGGGACCAGGCTGGGGCTGATTCACCACAGCTACAGTGCAGCTGGCGTCTGCAGTGGGCGAGCAGGACAGACAGCAGGCTCTACCTGTACAGCGGGGCCCTCGCTGGGCAACACCATGGGGACTCGACTCCCTCTTCTTGTCAAAAGCTCTTTTATTCCGGGGTGGCTAGCTATCAGAGACATTCTTGTTCATGAAAATGTTCAACAGGGGGCTGGAAAAATGGCTCAGAGGTTAAGGGCCCTGGCTGCTCTTCCAGAGGACCCCTGAGTTCAATTCCCAGCAAGCACATAATGACTCATAACCATCTGTAATGAGATCTGGTGCCCTCTTCTGGCCTGCAGGCATACATGCAGACAGAACACTGTATACATAATAAATAAATAAATCTTTTTTAAAAAACTTATTTAAAAAAAGAGACTGCTCAACGGAGAAACAGGGAAGTTTTGATGAGGAAGCTCAAAGTTTGGTGAGAAAACTACAAACATGTCCAAATTTCTCAGGGTGACTACCGTGGAAGCAGGGTAGCCCTCCCTATGCATCATTCTTTGGAGATCAGAAACCATCATGACACAACCCCATGACACCCACCACCTCTGTCTGCAGGGCACCAGGAGGAAGGAGCCCCGCCCTCCAGCGCCCTCTTCTGGAGCTGCCGCACCTTTAGTTCTGGTCTTGGAGAACACCTTGCACTCTGTCCTCCTGCCTGCAGAACTGCTCTGCCGGCTGTCAAAGAAAGGGGGGCAGGAGTCAGTCAGGGGGGCAGAGTGGGCCTGGGGCAGCATTGCCCTGCATGCAGGGGCCAGCCTGGGCCAGATCATGCAGCTAAGACAGCCCCTCTACAACTGACCCTGGGCTCTTACCAGTCCCTGAACAGGGCAGGGAAGTCCAGGAGATTAAGAGACACAGCAGAGGGCCCCAAACAGGGTTTCCAGAACAGACATTAACGGATACTATACTTAGCAGCAGAAACTGGAAGAGACTGTGACCAAACCCCAAATCACAAACTGTGACATTATCATGGGGATGCAGAAAAGAATTCACAGGCCTCTATCAAGCAATACAGCTGAGGCCTGTTTTCATTCCCCCTTTAAAGGAAACAGTGTATCCACCTCTTGTTCTGCTCTCCCAATTCCCAACAGCAAGTGACTCTTCGGTCGCCCTCTCAGCGTCCCAGCAGATGGGGCTAGGCATGCTACCAGGGCAGATCCGTAAGTGCCCATTATCTGTGCTGGGTTCCCAAGCACACATGTGATGGTTCCCTTGCCAGCAGACAGCTTCACAACTGAGAGGTCAGCATATCGTCATTATAAATATTACTTACCTATGGTTGGTCACTCTATTTGGGCCAAACACAAAGTCCTGAATTTGGAAACTGCATACTCAATGCCTCAGAAGCATTTGAAAGTGAATTTCAGAAACTGCACATCGAGTGTTCATTTCTAACCTGCCCACCTGGCAGCCCGATTTGACCTCTGAAGTTCAGACAGTCTTCATGGCGGCGGTCTTTGCTCCCTCAGATCAGTTAACCCTAAGAACTAAGGAGTATATTCCCACGGCAGATTGAACATGAGCATCTGCTCAGGGACACAAAAATGTCTTGGCATACAGGTGAGATATCCTGGAAGCTGCCATCATCTCATGGGCATCGTCATCATGACAATCTCAGAGGCTACCACATTAAACAGAAACCTCCTTCATCAAGGAGGAACAGGACAGGGATGGGGGCACTGGTCCAGCCGTGAACAAGGAGGAGCATGGGAAAGGGCCTGGGTCTGGTCTGGCTTTCTGGAGAGAGAAGCCAGGTGGACAGCTGCTGTCTATCAGAGTCTCAACATTGCGGACATGAAAGCTGCCAGATCTTTGCTACTGTGTCATATCTACTACTCAGGGCAATACAAATGGTCACTACTGCTTTAGTTAATGACAAAGGGGTACCAGACAGAAATAATCCTAAATATTCCAAATAAAGTAACAAATAAAGTAACTATCATTCTGACACAAAATACCCAGCTCAAAGAACTGGAAAATCTCCAGTAAACCTGTAAAAACTAGAGATTAAAAGAAATTCTTGAACAGCTGAGCAGGACCTAAGGAGCTAGAAGCAAGCTGCAATCTCCACTACTTTCCTGCTGCAGGGGCAAGCCACACAGCACTGCTCCTGAGGGGACACAGGACACAGGGCTCCAGGGTAGGATCTGAGTCCTGCACCAGCACCTGTCTCCAAGAGTCCTCTTGGACTCACAGCTACCATTCAAGAACACGAAGTGGGTGGGCGTGCCTTGTGCTTTCCCTGTGGGGGAACTGACCCCCCTCCCCAATGCCATGTCAAAAGGTATCTTGCAGCCTGGACAACCTAACAGTCCACACAAAGCAGAACTGAGAAGCCTGCCCTTGACTTCTAGCCACACCTTCCTGACCCTAAAATAAAGCTCCCCCCAACAAAACAGACAACACCTCCTTTTCCCTGTTGGGAAAAACACAAGCTTGCACATCTAACACACAAGTCTCAGCTGATGCGGCTGGTGTCCTTGGCCCAGCATCCTCACTCCAGGCTCTAGACATGTGGGGAGTTTAGGGCACAATTGCAATCAGAGTTCTACAAACTGCTTCTTTGAAAAACGATGTTTATTAAACAATTTTAATTGTCATAAAATGACTAAAATGGGTTTTAAAAATTAAGGCTCTTTTCTTTCTGTGGATTGCCAGACAATGTAAAAATAATATCAATCAACCCTGATGAACGCTTTGTTCCTAAGTTAAATTTCATAGATTCCTAAACATTTTATGATTTAAGATAAAAAGTTGGACCATAAGTGATAATTAATGGCCATCTGTACTGAACATACACTGACCAGGTGCACAACAATCTAGTTGAGGAGTTACGCAGAAATATCCCAGTTAAAGCATAAATTTCGACGTTAGCATTTTAATGTCATTATTTCTCCACACTGTCATGATTTCCCTATAACCGGAATAGTCTGATACAGGAATGCTAACTTTGGGACTCTATATACCCAGAGGGATGACTGGCTTGGCTGGCAATTAGTCTGATTATATATTTTTCAATGCTCTAAGGTGGATTATCAAATGATTCAGAATTACATGGCATGCAGTATCCAAAATTATGGCTCTGATGCATTTAGATTTACATTAAGAAGTGTCATTCACATTCATTGTACATCCCACCCCTCCCACAAGAAAAAAAATCACTACCTAGTCAAGTTCTAGATCTGGTGCAGCATTAAGGATTAAAACTTACCACTTTACCAGGCCTTGCCCATGTGCAAATAAATCCCTCCTGACAAGCAGTGACTATACAGTCTTCAAGAAAAACCAATACAGTCAGTCTTTCATGAGCTATCTTTTTACAGATCAGCGGCTCTAACAAAGGAACATCTTCCATCCGAGGACACAGGGATGTTCCCAGAGTTTTAGCTGGGTCCGTTTTGGCTTTAGTAACTAGATTCAGTTTGTCACTGCTCTTGCTGGAAATGTGTCCCATACTATGATTTCGTTTATGGTCTTTTTCATGGTGTCTCTCCTTCCGGTCGTGCAGCGACAGAGTTGCAAACTTGCTGACCCCAGAGGCAATGGCCCCGTCCATGACGCTGCTTTTGCTACCAGCATTGGAGACTGCTGAATGTGGAAGGCTATTGGACCGTGGCAATGGAGGGGGCACAGAGTTTCCAGGTGTAGTGACACTGTTCCCATTGCTTCCAGCAGGTGGACTTGTGGCATTCATGACATTTGTATGTGTCCTTGCTCTTGAGAGGGGTTGGTGAGGGAAAAGGATGTCTTCTGTAAGGTCCCATAAACACAGTTGTGTATCCTGACCCACTGAACCAAACCGATAGGTAACACTTACAGGGCGGCTGTCTGTAGAGTTCCGTTTGGACAGCCTAGACTGTGTACTGTTCGCTCGATCTCTGCCAAAATGAAGAAGGTCCTGGAAGTCCTCGTCACTGCCACTAAACTCCATAGGGTCACTTTCTTCTACGCTAGTAGTATAGGGATCAAATGCTACAACACTGACCCAGGATTTGTGCCCATGGCCTCTAGCTATTACTCGGCAGTCTAGAAAAGACCAGACTGTCACCAAGTCGTCCTCGCCACCTGTCACAATGTACTTGCCATCTGGGCTCCAGCACACACAAAGCAAGCCCCCAAAGTAGCTTTTCATTGTACCGTGCAGCTCCACTGAGTCAAAGTTGAACACACGCAGAAACCCGTCCTGGCTCACACATGCTAAGAACTTGCCATCTGGGGAGAAAGCAAACTCGTTGAGGGCCCCCTCGCCCACCGTCCACTTAAGGAGAGGGTTCCTCGTGGATTTGCTCTTGCAAGTGTGCACGGCAAAGCTCTCTCCCTGCTTCAGAAGCTGGTAGTGGGGGGCTGTGGTGCCACAAGTGTGCTCCACATTATATAAGTACATGTTCCCACTTGAATGGGCTACTAGGAAAAGGCTTTCCGAACCAGGAACCCATTTGACACAGGTTACGCGTGACTTGTCTATTAGTCTCTGTGAAGACAAAGGAGAACAAGTTATCACAATGGAGAAGTTAAGGTCTAATTTCCAGAAAAAAAAAACAAACAAAAACAAAAAAACAAAAAAAAGCTTGTCTGCTTCTCGGCAAGAAGGAAAGAGTCCATTCAGGCACTCCATATTTATCCTGTGTCAGCCAAGCCAGGGACGAGCATGTGGACCATTCTAGAATTGCAATTGGGTGTCAGGACCCTGTCTTTTACTGAGGGTATCAATCACTGGATAAATATCTGCTGAGGGCCTATTCTGTGCCAGGCCACAGGCACACTGGTGTGGGACAGCCTTTGGCCCTTACAGTAGAAATAACTGAATGTTTCACTACAGCTACATCCCCTCTATAAGGACTCAAAGGACAAGTTTCTGTCCTCATAGTTTTCTTTGCCTTTGTCACTTCAGGCCATGGGCTAACGACATTGGTCCCTTCTGTGGCTGCTCCAGGACAGGGAATCATCTGCAGCCTGTGACCAGCAGAACACAGGACTTGAAAACACATTTCCTGGACAGGATACAGCCTGGACTCACTGTGTCTTTACTCACTCCATAGGCTGGCCTGTGAGTATGTTAACCCACATCTCCCAGATTCTCTCTGAAGATGGAGGTTGGCTTGGGAGCCTGTGCTCCACCACTGTCAATCTATTTCATGCTCATCTCTGGTCCACTGACCTAGTTGCCCTCTTTAAATGCATGTATACAATGTCTAAATTTTAAAACCAAACAAACAAAAGCAGACACAAATGCCACTCAGATGTACAGAAGGGATACCCTTCTCTGTGCAGACCCTGCTATAGGACTCATCAGAGCACATACCCTCCAAAGGCTACAGAGCTCACCAGAAGTTCCCAATCCTGCCCTGCAACTCCCTGGAATACCTGCCAGGTATTCTCTGTTACTTCTTTACTCTTTACTGGGACAGTCCCAAGGGCTTAAGGGCTACCATTTTACCTAATTGGTTGGGGTTCCCCAACAAGAATCTCAGAAAGTCATCAGGGCACACTAGTATGGACCTGAGCTACAACCATCTGCCTAATTGGTTTGGTGACCATGTATCAGCAATGTGTGTTATTTCTTTTACAGAAGAGGACAGAAATGAAATAATGTGACTTTTAAAAGAATGGAAGCTGGGGTGCAATGTGCATGAGGATCTGGGTTTTCATATACAGCACTAGGTACAATAGTAATAATAAATAACAGGACAGAAAAGAAATTGAATCATGTGAGCTCACTGCATAAGTAAGACCTCAGAGGGAATGGGCTGTAACAAATGACTGCTCAGAAAAACAGGAGCCGGAGTGCCCATAGTATGAGGCCTGGAGTTACAGGTTCTCGAGTCTGAGCAAGGAGCATGAGCTATTAGTGCTTCCTGGCACAGAACAGCATGACAGGCATCTTAGCCAATAAGTTCTGCCCTTGATAACACAGTCAATGTTTTCATTTCCTGCTTGGTGACCTGCCTATCAATGGCACCTGCCTTATGTTAATGTCAGCTGCCTAAACACCCAGCACTGTTCTGCAGGATTTCCGTTAGACTATTTCATAATGTCATAAATTATGAGATTTCTTAACAAGGGGTCAGATAATCTTCATAGCTAGATCATAGCCTATGGGAGAAGAGGGTGTTAGGAGGGTGCAGAAATTAAGATCCAGCTACATGACCTTGAAGGTTCACTGCTAACTCTGTCCATGAGGCCAGGTTGCTCCACACTCACTCACTCTGAGTCCAGGGCCATGACTATGCCAGGTGGGTTTGCACATGTAACTTGGATTTAAAGTCAGACAACTGTCCTGACCCTAGCCTGGTTTTCTCCAATCACTATTACTCCATTCATGTGGAAAATTTAAAACTTCTCACAGTATGACTAGGTGTAAATTTTTACCTACAAACTTAAAAAAAGTACAACAGAAAAATTCCACTGGAACTCAGAAAGTATAATTCTGGTAAGAAAGGAAGTGCTGTTATGTGACGGGGAGGTGCAGACAGCAGTGAGCAGATGCAGTGCAGAGTGATGGGGAGGTGCAGACAGTGGTGAGCAGATGCAGTGCAGAGTGATAGGGAGGTGCAGACAGTGGTGAGCAGATGCAGTGCAGAGTGATGGGGAGGTGCAGACAGTGGTGAGCAGATGCAGTGCAGAGTGATGGGGAGGTGCAGACAGTGGTGAGCAGATGTAGTGCAGTGTGATGGGGAGGCAGAAGCGGTGAGCAGATGCAGTGCAGAGTGATGGGGAGGTGCAGACAGTGGTGAGCAGATGCAGTGCAGAAAGTTTTACTCACTAAAATGTGCACTCCAACCACCTTAGGCCAATCTGTGGATGTAGCTGACAGAGAAAACCTCTAATAACCCACTGTATGCAGACCTTACTGTTGTCCCTGGGGACTGGGCACACCAGTGTGAGCAATGACAGACCAAATCCAAGAAAGCACATCTGAGTCAGGGGCACGGCATAGCAGGAGGACAAGCCTCACTTCTGACCTGAAGATCTATTTCTGGGTGCCAGGTGTTGGCAAGAGGCTTTCCATCCACTCCCTCATGCTCCACTCCACAAGCCTGAGCACTCATAATTCTACATGACTACAAGCAGAAAGTCTCACTTGGACTCCTTTCCTGCGCTCAGGACCTGCTGCCCCAGTCACTGGGATTAGCTCATCTACCCAGAATGCTTGCTTACACAACTGCCAAATAGGGCACAAATGTATTAACTCTCACCTCTGTTTCCCTTTCAATGATGCAACCTGTGCATCCCATTCTTCTCTGGAATTACAAAGCACTCAATCACAAGCCCCCTGCTGGTCAGTATTGATGTAGTGTGAACGACCTTGAGCCAGGGCAGTTTTCACAAGTGTGAGCAGTATGTACAGATAAAGGGGTGTAAGCCTTACAAGCTTTCTAGAGGTGTGGCCAGATTGCTTCCCATGGAGACTGTAACAATTTATGCTCCCACCAGTGCCTATTTTCCCTATCAGAAGGTATGGCCTATGAAGAGACAGAAAAGTTCAGAGGTCTTCACACTTGTCTGAAGTCACGTCCATTCACTCAGTCAACACTGAATGCATACCACATGTCAGACATTTATTTATATGGCATCGATTAAATCCCTTTCTACATGGCAGATGTAGTGAGGTAAATGCTGTGCAGAAAAAAAAATATCCAGAAAGGAAAACAAGGTGCTGGGAATGGCATGTCTTGGCAGTTTCAGTCTAAGAGGACAGCTAAGAAAAGCCCCTTAATATGTGAGAGTTAGCTGGGCACAAAGTGAGGCCAGCACACAGTGTGCTGGGGAGACACAGGAGTAGCTGAGGGAACAGACGCAGAGCTCCAGACCCTGTAGAAGTAGCAGTGTGCCACTGAGAGCGGCTGCAAAATGGGTAGCTGTCTCCTGTCCTGAAGACCTGAAGGTCTGAGGACCAGCCTGCCATGCCCACTAACAAAGTTACCCTGCAACAGAGTGCCAGCCTAGCACGGACCGCACAGCAAGTGGGAAATACAACTCCTTGACCAGCGGTTACCTGACTTCAATTGTTCTAGGTTGTTACTAATTTTGAATGTAATAGAGAAAGAACAAAAGTGTCCTACATCTATCTTTCAAATAAAGAAACATAAACATTTGGAACATTTTACTCAATAAATATAAGAATAAAAATTACATAGAAAGGTGGGCATCGTGGCTAGGCAGCATAGGGTGCATCAGGGAAGCTAGGAGGATATGGCAAGACTGTCTCAAAAACTATTTTTTTTAACACAGCCCAGTCTCTACACCAAAAAGGTTACATTTTTATTTTAGAAAACGTCTGATTTAAAAAATAAAACAAAAAACAATGAAACAAAAAACCCAATAGAGTCATTTTAGGAACCAGTGTAGGTGGCGGATTCCTTTGTTGCTTTTGAGTTCTCACTGGAGCAGACTCTCATCTAATGAGCAAGATACCCTACAAAGTCCTATTCCTCCAAGTTGTACTGCATGTGGGTAGGGGTGGGTGGGGGTGAGGCAGGAGCGAAAGGGGGACTAGGAAAGGCTGGGGCAGCTGGAACACGACTGTGAACTGAGACACAGGGCTGTGAGATCCTAGGATAGGGCCAGGCTGTAGAGGCCATATACTGTCCCTTCCATGTGGCTCGCCTCAAGGGAGATGTGTTATAAATGTAGAATACACACTGGATTCTGCGGGTGTGGTATAGAAAAAGATTGTCAAAGATCTCATTCCTAGTTTTAATATCGTATAATGAAATATCTGACTGTATGAGATAAAATACAGTGTATTCTTAAAATTAATTTCACCCGATTTCCATCCTTTGAAAATGTGAGTGTACACCTGCAGCTCACTCTGCATTGTCCTTGACAGTGCTACTTCAGGCACGGGGCACCACAGGCTCTAGAACAGGAGGAATTCCTAGCAGAAAGAACAGAAGGTCAAATGCAGACGAGGTCAGGAGGTCACTGGTCTCCAACCTAGTCAGTGGTAATGTCAGGTGCATCTGTTGACAGTGAGTGTGAGTGGGAACAATGAGAGGGGTATAAAGTTCATAAAGACCCTTAAGTTCAGCCCCAGAGTCAGCTGAGAAGGTCAGTCTGTAGCAAGTGAAAATGAGTAGAAAAGTCAAGCGAATGGAGAGCTACAAACCTGTGACATCCTGGGATCTCTGAGGAAGATGGTTCAGCAAGGTAGAGTGTAGAATTCTGGAAAAATCCACCCAGAGGGAGCACAGCAAGGCCATGCTGTCATACTCACTATGGTGACCACAGAGCTCTCCATGGAAGAGCCAGCTTCCAAAAGACTCAGAGCCCATTTCTAATACCACTTTTGAGACAATAACAAAACCCAACCAAACTCCTGGCCAAAGCACAACAGAACACTGCGGTGTTTAGGTCAAGGGTCAGAGGTAGAGCCGCAGACTCAGAAGTTTGTATGGACCCTTGGAGCACTGAGCCAGAGCTCAGCCCTCTTCTAATACAGAGAGTAACTCAAGGAGAAACCGCACTATA